TTCAATATGACAGCACATACTGTATATAAGCATAATCTGAACATGAATCTATTGATCAACCAACCAACCAACCAACCAACCAACCAACCAACCAACCAACCAACCCAACCAACAACCAACCAACCACCCAACCAACCAACCAACCAATCAGGCAGCAATGGCCATAGCAGCAACAAGTAGTTAGTAGTTTCTAACAATCAGCTTGAGAAGAGATAGATTCAGATAGCAGTGAAAATGGAAGCTGTCTAGGAGAGATGGGCACAAATCTGAAAAATCGTGATTCATTTTTATTCGTAATTCACGAAGGTCGATGAATCATGAATCATGAATTTACATTTTTTCCTGATGAACTGGTGAATTTATTCGTCAACTTGATTTTGCCTTTAAAACCTTATAACCTCCCCACAAGCACCAGAGATGGCAACATTGCAGAGAAGTGTCCCCTGACTCTCTTCTCCAAGCTCTGCAAGTTTGATGAAGGTTGGGTTTATGATGTCTGAGTTATACATCCATAAAGAAGGCCTCCCAGGAAAGTTCCCTCCAGGTACCTAGATATACTAAAATTGCAAGAAAGCATCTCTTGACTCTCCTCTACAATCCCTCCAAGTTTTTTGAAGATTGGGCTTCAGATATTTGAGGTATACATCCACTCTGTCCCCAGGAAAATGCCCTTTAGCACCTGGCTTGGGGAAACCCAAGCTTCACCAAACTTGGAGGGGTTTGTGGAGGACAATCAGGGGAAGTTTCTCTGTAATTTTGGTGTCTCTAGTACCTGGGGAAAACTTTCTGGGGGGGGGCTCTCTGCGTGTGTATGACTCAGACACCTGAAACCCAATCTTTGCCAAACTTGGAAGAATTGTAGAAGAGTGTCAGGAGAAACCTCTGTTAAAGTTTAGAGTCTCTAGTTGCTGGGGGGGGGGCTGTTTTATAGGCCAACAAAACAGCAAATCAAAAAATAACTAAAATTTATTGATTTGTATTCATTGGGAGGCATTGATTCAGATGAATACAAACTGATGAATTAGCAAATTTTTATAAATTTTGCAATTTGTTTCTTAATCCGTGCCTATCTCCAATCTATAACATTCAAATCCTTCCCTTTCTCCAAGGAACTCAGAACATTTTTTTTCTCACTATGACCCTACCTTGGCCAGACAGGGATGAGCTAAAAGCTATCTAGCAGCTGAATAGAGACAGTCCTTATGATTTAAGACAATATACACCATATATTATTGTTTTGCACCACAGAGCCTATAATCCCTTATTATTATCTGTACTGGTTTAGGAAGAAACATCTGGGGGGGGCACAGTTGCCCACCTCAGCACTATATTTTTGTCAAATAGTCCTAGATTCTCTCAGAAATTGGAAGTCACTAGTTTTAAAAAATATATATATTGTAGTTAACTCCATTTCATAAATACTAAGGCATAAGTATGTTATACTGTGACTGGAACATAACTAGGGACAACTTCATACCCTTTACAATTTAACTCTAAATGTAATTGTAAACTTCTAAGTTTACATTCCTTTAGAGTTTTGGAAGCATACCTAATTATTTTTTTAAAATAACTCCCCAAGCTCTGGATGCAGCCTCTTGCATTCTCTGAATTCAGTCACTGCAGTTTATTAGATCAAACAGCAGCAGCAAATTATTGAAACTGGGAGCTCCATTGTACTCAACTGCCATGGTTAGGCAACCCTGCTGAAATTAATGATTGGTAAGCTCCTTCCCTGTAATTAGCTTGGGTCTGCATAGCTAGTTCCCCCCCCCCCCCCAAGATTACTCTGAAGGTTGCCATTCTTTTCCAACTGGCAGCTCTTTTCTCCTGGCCCTTCTTCAATACACTTAACAATGCAAACTTATCCATGAGTGAGCAAGATGATGTACTTCCAGTTAACGTTGAGTATAGGGCTGTGGCTTTAAACATAAAAGGTGGGAAGAGAGGTAGAAGTACAGAGGGGTAATGATTAGAGATGGGCATGAACTTTAGTTGATCATCTGCTCAGACAAGGGGGCAGGTTAGGCAACCCGCTGCTGCTGTTGGGGACTGGTCAAACAGCTGAAGAAGAGGAGGAGAGGAGCACACTCTGACTGGTGAGTCGGTCATTGGCTGGGGAGGCAGGAAAAGCAAATGCACAGTACCTGTGGACCTGTGCGTACAAACTGGCACGAACCTCTGAACCGCGTTTCATGCCCATCTCTAGTAATGATGATGGCAAAGGGCTTTTAGGTCTTATCTTTAACCCTTCTGATCCCACAGGGTGTCTATTGCTTCTGGAACACACAAACATTTGGCTTCCAGCTCGCTCCAGTTACATCAGGCATTCCCAAACATGATCAGGAGCAAGAATGTGGATGAGTGCTCATACGTTTTCGAACTCCTGGTGGTTTTCCAAGTCTTTGCACGTTGACACTCCCCACTTAGATTTTTCATGGTGTCAGTGAGTCATCCTGCCTCCCTGAAAAATAAGACCACAATTTCATCCCTCCTCCCTGCCCACCCTAAAATTTTTCACCCACAGTGCTATACTGAAAACTGCCAAATTCTGTGCAGCTTAATGCCCTTTCCAGTGAATCCTATGCAGGAAAGATGTCATTTGTTTCAGGAATTATAGTAATCCTGCATAGCTTAGCATTTCTTCCAGAAAGAAAGGATCACAAAATTGCCAAGAAATTCCATGAGATTTCCCATAAATATGACTTGGGGTGAAAAGTCCTGTGCAAAGGAATCTCAGTGCAAAAAGAAAACAATGACCCCCCAAATTTTCAGTTCCAAGATTTGCATTCCTGCTCAGGAGCATCGAGACCTTAAGGATCGGACATATCATGCCTTTGCCAGCAACAACCAGCTTCAGAACACAATTTCTTTAGCATATGTTTGGTTGGAAATAACAGAAGAAAAGCTTCATGGAAGTGCTACTGCTAAACCACTGTGAGGTAGGCCTGCACTTAAGCAGAGTATCTTTGGCTTACAGAGGAATACTTAGATTTACCATGATAAATTCATCGAACCCCACCAGACTTTCCAAAGCTCAGCAGCATCCCTACTGCAGATGGACCCTTGATCCCTCGTATTGGAAAAAGATGTTTGGATGACAGATTTTGCCATTTTCGTCTGGATTACTGGTAATAGGATATGCACCTGCCCTTATTATGAGGAAGCAGTCATGTAACATATAATAATGCAGTAATCAGATACCACACACATACAGAGAGTGTGTGTGAGAGTTGTATATGAGTGTCCACCCAACAATCGGTGAAAAAAGTAGGACTGAGTACACCATATGCACAGTCACCTCATTAAGAGCTCTGAAATGTTACTTTTCCAAGCTCTGTTTAAGCACACACATATGTCCGCTTCTCACTCAAGTTGTATTTGAGTGTCCACCCAACAATAGGTGAAAAAAAAAGTAGGACTCAGTACATCATATGCACAGTCACCTCATAAAGAGCTCTGAAATGTTACTGAGAATGGTAGTTCAAAAAGTAACTTTTTCAAGCTCTGTGAAAGCACACACATATGTCCGCTTCTCACTCACAAATGTACAACTCAAAAGCAGGAAATGTCTGCTAAACAGAAATACCTTGTAAAAGTGATATGGAAATTCATGCATAACCTGGACCTCAAGATCCCAGGTCAATATTTAATTACCTTGGAGAAGCAAAGAACATACCAGCAACCAAGCAAAAGAAAACTAAAACCAATCAAAGCAGGTCCAGACCCAGAACACACACAGTGTCACATGCTGCTATTAAACTGTATTTCTCTCTGTGCGAGTGAAAATGGAAGGACTACCAGGTGATGCAATAAAAATTACATCATGTTTCAAGGGCTGGAGTTTGATTGCATTCAAAGCCAAGAACACAGGGGATGTAAAACTTATTTTCTTACAAGAGTATGTTATTTTTTAAAAAACACACAGATAAAAGATAATGGATGTCTCCACCAGCAGCAGCAAATGACAGTGAATCAACTGTGAAAGCCACCAGATAAATCCCAAAGATGGAGCTTCTATATCAGAATGAAAAGACAATCTCTCAGTGTTCTTCCATGGGAAATATTTAGAAGAAAACAACAGATCACACAGAAGTGTTTTGTTGCCAAAACAGACAACAAACAACCTACACAAAACAGTTGAAATGTTTTATGCAGCCAAGTGGAAACAAAAGCTTACTTTAAAAACCCACAGTTTCGCATTTAAACCCAAGTCACGTGTGTTGACAAAACAATATTAGAAGAATATGTTCCTCCAAGACCAAAGTAACAAAATATTTTTCCCTTTAATCAGTTTTATCGTAGGAAAACAGCTTAAATGGGACTAATACTTTCTGTTTCATGTCACCAAAATCGACAGAAAAATAGAAACGGAGAACGGATAACATTTCCCAAGCATTGTTACTATACACAAGTCCAAAACAATATAATGAACCTGTCAGCATAATGTTCAGGCTTTTACCTCCTCAAAAGAGAAACAATCACATTTTAGTTCGCACTTGCCATTTGTTTAAATCCCTCAACAATATGTACAACTAATTAGAGTAATGTGAATACAGGACACATGGAGACAACAACACAGTGTATCATTCTGAGTGCATCTGTACTGTGTTTCTGTCCTCAAAGTGGAATATAATTGCAGCCGGCTAGTTTGCATAATAATGTGACAATCTACTGAATACAAACCTTTCCTTTTTCAAAAAACAACCAATCAAAAACAAACCTTCTAAAAAGCAGGATGCGGAACAGTTTGTATGTAATTTTCTTGTGACTCTGATTTCAAGGTGGGGGGCAGTCCACTTGGGTTTTGTATAAACTTAACAGGAGCAGTTCGAGGTGCTGAACCACCACCACCACCACTTCAAACTAGATTCAGCCCCTTTAAAAGTCCAACTGAATCCTAAAGCAGAATCACTGCCTCCATGAAACTGGTGTCACAACCTTTCTTTGATAGGAGTATCACACACAAGGCAAGAATGAATTGAAATCTGTTTCTCTCTTACCAAGTACCCCAAGCCGGTAGTTGACGGTGATGACAATCACATTGCCATAACTGGCCAGCACACTCCCATCATATAAATTTCCAGTGCCTTCCATGTAGGACCCTCCATGAATATACACCATCACTGGTTTGGGCCCCCCACTATCTCGAATGTCTGCAAGAAAAACATGGAGAAATATGTTATCCCAGGAATCTCATGAGGTCACAGAAACTCTAGTTTATCTGTCTGTTTTTCCCAAGCTGTGTTTCAAAAGTGTTTCCCAAGCAACTTATAAAAAACCAGCACATCCTCAAGAAGTGTCATGTGAGGGGGATTGTGGATAAAGGAAAAGTGCTAGAGTGTTTACCACCAAAGTTATGAAAAGATATGGCTCACTTCGCAAAAGTGAAGCCTTCTCATGATAGCCACACTTAGGAACAGAGGTGACTACTTTATATTGAGTCACATCATTAGTCTCTTTAGGTTAGGACTATCAACTTTGACTGGTAGCAGCTCTCTGGGGAATAAGACAGAATTCTTTCTTGCGCATCCCTGGTATTTCCTGCTAGTACAGTGGTTCTTAACTGTGGGACAAAAACTCAACGTTAGCTGAGCTAGCCAGGATTTCTGGGGCTTGCAGCCCAAGAACACCTGGCAACTTAATGATTGTGAATCATTGTACTAGTCTATCATCCAGTTACTATCCAGACCTGGTTCTGCTTAGCTTTTAAAATCAGATGAGTTTGGGGTCACAGCAGTAACATTGTTATCACTCATACCGTATGGTTATCTCCCATACTTTAGAAACAGTCTTCTCTGCAGAAGCCAGAGCAGTAACTTGGGCTGATAATCCATTGCATAAAGTCTCTGCAAAGAAGACTGGGGTTTGGTTTTTCAACAAGGAGGCTTATGTGCCCTATTCTTCTGCATGGGGCCTTACTTGGTGGATGGTCCTGCCATGGGGTTTTACAATGACATATTCCACTTGATCTGGTCATAGGAGGTTATGCCTTAAACTCATGATATAACTAGATGAGATGACCTTAATGCCTTTCTGAGACAGAGGATCTCGGAGAATGTTTAGAAACTTCATCTGATGCAAAACACAGTGGTCAACTGTGCAGACAAAACACACACCATAGTCTTAAAATAATGTAATCGCCTTCCTTTAGTTTGAATGTCCAGCAAAGGTGCATGGAAGGTGCTAACAGCCTTCATATATCTTTCAAGTTGTGTTTCATCGCCCACCTCCTAGAGAAGTGTAGATAGGGGAGGGTGATGGGGGTTTCTGTATAGCAGCATCTCACTTATTACACTCCCCTTTCAGGGAGGTTGGATTTAGGCTGATGTGTTTTACTTGATTGCTTTTTTGGGGAGGGGAATAATGTTTAAATTCTTATGTTTTTTTTAACCCAACAGTCTTATTAAAGATTAGCACTTATGGAGTGAAAGGTTATTTGAGGAAAGTATTAAATAAATAAATAAATAAATAAATAAATAAATAAATAAATAAATAAATAAATACTATTTGTTTACTACATATACCATAATAGCATCTCAACAGCAGACTGAGTAGGCACACAGTCAGCAGATTCCAGTCTCCTCCGCAAAAGTGAGATGCATTAAAAAAAACCTAGACAATAATACTTAATTTGTATATTGTCATCCATGTGCCTTTTTTGAACCACTTCTCTTTTTTTTTTTGGTGATGCATGCATAGTAGGGATGTGCCAGTTTTATATTTGCTGTTTTTGTCAGACACCCTTGGCATTCTAATCATCATCATATTACAACTGCAGAGCTGGAAGGGACCTTGTGGATCATCAAATCCAGACCATGTCAAGGAGGCCCAGTGTAGGATCAAACTGCAGACTGCTGGTTCCTCATCCTGTTCCAGTTTGATCGTGATCAGCAAGACATTTTCCCCCTCCAGTGGAATTTCCTCCAGATGTTTGTGCCTATTTATACACATTCTTCTATGTATGTCCCCCCCTCCCCATGTATGTGTTTTTCATGCACCTTGGATAGATTCAGGAACATTTTCAAATATATCCATAATTTTATGTGCACTTTTTCCTCCCGAAGCGTCATAACTCAGAAAAATGCAGGGCTTTCCAAGGCAAAGAGTACTTTGTCCCAGTGCCAGTCTCAGGATGCATATATTTTATATTACTGCAGGAAAATGTGCACATAGTAAGTGGTGCACATAAGTGGTGACTATTGAGATGCCAAGGGGTTCTGGGAGATACAGATAAGGTTCAACATTCTTGTTTGGAGCTAAATCGAATGTCAGTTTGTGACACTAAAATTTAATTAAAGTAAATGCAGAACTTCCCTATATCTTTCTAAAAGTGGCTACTGATGTCTGTTTACTCACACTGGATTGGCTTTTTATTTTTCTAACATGGCCACAAACTATAGGAGCCAATGATAAATTATTAATCAGAAATTGCAAAAGGACTGTTTGCAGCAGAAACTCTAGATGCCTAATTGTATGCTTAGAGGTAGCACAGGAGAGGATTGCTTAAGAATTCATCTTTAATTAAAATTACATAGAATTATAGAGCACTGACTGTGAAAAGTAATGAAATCCTGATAGCGCCATTTGGTGCATTTAGGCCAAAAATACAAAATTAAAAAGAAAAAAATCCTGGAGTATTTGGAGGATATAAGGCACCTTTCCTAAAAAGGGGGGAAAATTTGAATGCTAAGCTGTACCTTCCAACATGAAGTCAAGTTCAAGGTATAAAGGATTCGCTGAATAAATTCAGCCCATATAGTACCTGTTTTATGACTTCTTTCTGAATATTATGCACCGAAAGGTTAAGGACAGGCAGTACTTCAAACTCCTCTCAATTTATCCACATGCCATAGCAGATAAGAATAGATATGATATAAATTTTCTCCATGCTGCACTGTCAAAGATCTTAGCACTGACCTACAGGAATTCCATTTCTTTTGTAAATAGATAGGAGGTTCTTTCTGATCTGAGGCTGTGAATGGTAAAGAAATTTATTCTCAGCATTCCGGACCCCCACAAGTTTAGAAGAAGGAAAGAGGTGCTGAGGTCTTTGCTCTAAACCATATTATAACATTATGAGCGAAGGCCTTTGAGGTAGAAGTTCTCCTCTTCCACATTCATGTGACACCACTCATCCATGCAGCAACTACTCATCTCAGCTGCTTGACAGAACTGGGCAAAAACAAATGAAACAAATTTTGAGAGATCTGTAATCAGGGAGGAAGAATAAGTCACGTAAAAGTACGATGGGCATGATGTGGCTTGAGAAGAAGAGCTATTAAAAAAAGATCTAGGCCTTTCTTGTAGAGTACACGCTAATTTATGAGCCTGCAGTACATTATGGTGGCTAAAATGTGGATGCACATCAAGGCTGCATTAATATCTTGAGTCCGAGATAAGCCACGTTATGGTGCTTTAGGTCGGCCTTGCTGGAAATACTGAGCCCAGTTACTGGCACCACAATCAAAGGAAGACATCTATAAACTGGAATGTGTCTAGTGGGTGAAGATAGTGAGTGGCATCAAGTAGAGACCAAGTCTTGTTATGAAAGGAGATGAGTTTATATAGCCTGGAAAGGAAAATGGGAATAGCAAGAAGGGTTGTAGTGACTTACAAGCTAACAAGCTTTATTTGATATATGCTTAAGGGGACTGAAGTCCACTTCTTCTACTTCTTCTTGTAATACACAGAGTGTCACTTCAGTAGATAGTCATTTATATAGTTACAGAAAGGGTGGGAGTATTAATGGAAATCTAAGAAATCCAGCCTATGGCCAGTCAGTGGTCAATAAGAGTATTTGCGAGCCCTTCAGAGTAACCGACAGACATGTTACTGGAGGGTAAAAATGATTCAGAGTGACTGGTGAGTGACATTTAAGCATAAATGAACAGACTAACCATATATAATGGGAAAGCCCACCTAAAGATTCACAGATGAATATTAGGAAGAATTTACTGTCAGGGACGAGCTGTTTCCTATCAGCAATTAGTGCCCTGGAAAACAGTAGAATTTCGTTCATTAGACTGTTGAATTGAGATAGCTATGATTAGGGAGGCTGCTGGAACCTTTCAGGATTTGAGGGAACAGACTCAGAATCTATTTCTGATGCACAGCACATGAATTTGCTCATGGCATTTTCAAAATATATTTCCAAGCAATTTGGTGTAATTGGGAGACAGACATCTGTTTCACCGTAATAGCGCAGTGCACTTCCCAACAGATTTGTATGTCAGCAGAGGTCCAGGAGACTTGACACTCCCTCTTCATTTTATAGCCTTTCGCAAAACTGACTCTGAAAACATTACAAACAGCTTTCAAAGATGTCAGTTCTGGCATCCTGAGACCTTCCTACCTTTAAAATCCAACACCTTGGCACCTTGCTCTTGCATTTTCCAAATGCAAGCCATTTGTATAGCTAAGGGATCACCTTTTTCCATATAATTCACATCTGCCTCTCAAGACAGAGACAAACAACAAAAACAGCATCCAATTCTCTGAGACCTCTGCAAATTTTCAAGGCATGGGTAGTTTGACCAAAAAAAAAAAAAATCTCTGAAAGTGTGAACTGGATACTTTTTAAAGCTTTCAATTTAAATGAAATCCTTTTCCATCAGCAGTCCACTGCAGAAATGAAGTAGACAGAAAAAGAAGAAAGCCCAAATGGGCAAGATGGAGGGAGGCAAACATACAGGAGTAGGAAGGAATAGGGTTTAATAGCAGGCTGCAGCATCAAGGAAATCATACTGCAGTCATCAAAAGTAGAAACAAAGATCCAAATCTGTTCAGTAGGCAAGAAAGGGTCTAGGAAATCAAAGCTTGCTGCAGAGTGAGAGTGGCCACTTACATGTCATGTTAAAGAAAGATAAAGGATGACATAGATTTGCATAAAATATCATAAGCTAACTCATATGTACAAATGCAGAATTACAAAAGAATTAAACAGATTTAATTTAAACAGTTTTAAAACATAGCTCATCCAAGTTGGAAGGACTAAGGCAGCTACCTATTCAGTCTGTTGCCAAGGTGCTAACTATCAATGCACAATTTCATAGAGGATCTTCAAGATTCTCTATGTTTAAATCAGACTTGGACACAACAGCCCTCTGAATAAAGGGCAAAACTAGGGCTTGCCTTTGTAGCCCCTCAGATAAAG